TTTTTTTTTTTTTTTTTTTTTTTTGTCAAATTCTAAACGAGATTTCACCTCTAGAGCTTGCACCAACTCCAGCTCGAAAATTGTTTAACAATTTCTAAAACAACTGGAGCACTGTATTCGCAAATTTGTCCCCAAGCTGTGTAAAGATTTTAAAACGTTTACAACGGAAGCGATTTATTGCACGCAATAGTTTCAATTGTCGGATTGAAGGTCTCTTCATGTTGTTGTTTTGTTCAAGTTACTGCACAGGAAGAACATACTTGCCACTTTATACTTAATTGTTTGCTGATGTTAAGTAACGTAAATGTTGCTGGAACTCTCTTTCAGGCCAGTTCATTATGATATCCGCTAAGTCATTATGACCTCAACCCATTGTTGTGGAACAATGTGACTTTGTTCTCTACGGGCCACTGACAAATCGGATTCCGTGTTTGCAAGCAGGTTTGTTCGGGTGCACTATTAAAATACTGGACTGGTGAAATTCAGTGCAAAACCGACGAGGTCACTTCAGGTGCGTCAACGAAGAAACAGCTCTAAAGCAAAACAACGGGTGAATAGGACAAACGACAACAAAATATTACACTTGGCTGACGGTGCATCAAACCAAGAGTGACACCCTCAGAGATTCAGACTTGAAGAAGTAAGACCGTGCTGTGTTACTCGAGCGCCAGAAACGGCTTTAACGAAGACAAACAGCTTAGAGGTATCCAGAAGAGCTCGCCAAGTGTCTTCGTGAAGAACGGACTAGTACGCAGCAGAACGCAGGTACTGAAACTGCTTCAGCACAAGGAAGGTCGTCCATTAGCGCATCTGGTCCTCCGTACATCTGGCGTCATAACCCAAACGATCCACGGTTGCAAAGCAAGCCGCACTGATTAAACGGATGCACAAAGGACGCAAGGCCTAAGTTCCCGGCAAGAGAACTATTGTGGTCTGCAAATCAGCTCGGTTAAGACAAAAGAAATTTGCACAAACCTCGGGACAAAATTCGACTCTCGAGCTCTAGGCAAAACATCGTGATCGTTAGCAGAAATACAAGAAAAGACACGAGCGTCAAGACCGATGAGTTAAGCAGGAAGACAAGTTAAGACACCAGCTGCAAGACAAAGATCAAGGCCCAAGCAGGAAGACAAGACCCTAGGGAGAGGACAAGGTACAAGCATCAAAGAGAAGACCCGACGAGCTAGAAAGAACAAGATATCACAAGCATCAGGACAAGAATCAGGAGCAAAGTAAGAGGACAGGACAAGACACAAGCTTCAGGAACAGGACAAGCAGCAAGACAGGACAAAACACAAGCATCAGGAACAGGACAAGACACAAGCATCAGGAACAGGACAAGACACAAGCATCAGGACAGGACAAGACACAAGCATCAGGACAGGACAAGACACAAGCATCAGGACAGGACAAGACACAAGCATCAGGACAGGACAAGCAGCAAGACACAAGCTTCAAGACAAGACCCAAGCAGGAACGATGTATGGAATGCCTCGCAGCGGACCCAGTTCATCACTCAGCGGAACCAACTCACCAGTATACGGAGAGAACATTGATTATGCCATCAGAATTGTCGAGCACTTTATCAATTTCCTTCCCTCGAGTTCAGGTAAGCTATTTTTGCTTGTGATACTTGCATGGGTCATTGTTGGTTTTCAGGCTATGAAACTTAACTGACACAATGAGATCAAGAGAAAGTTTCCACCTTCATGACAGATGTATTCATACGATGTGCCAGGCATTACTTCAGTTAGACCATGCGTCTTAATAAGCCGGTTTTCTCTAAACGATACCTCGGCAGTGGACTGAAACAGTTTAAAAAAGTAAGTTCACCACATTTCTGATTCTCAACCGTCAAACCAACAAGATCACCAAGTGCTTTTAGTTCTCAGTGGCTGAGAACATGCACTGCACAAAGCTCACAACGAAATCCTGAAGTATTGGGGGGGAAATCTTCACTAACTAGTACCAAAAAAATGGATTATATAAAAGGACACTTCATCAAAATGTAATAAGTTCCTGGTTCACATTGCAACATGTTCACTCATAACTACTATACATGTAGCCAGGAGTTTTTCCAAAAACTAAGCATGACGTCGAAGATGTCACCATATGCAAGTCGGTGAAGAACGCGGAACAAAGAAACATGACTAGGTCTAGATAAGTTCATTCCCTCAGTAGTTATAGCATGGTAACTCATTGTACACTGACAAGTTTAGTTTCAAAAGTGTTACGCCCAGCCATTTGCATGATAGTTCTTGACTATTGTAAACATGACTTGTCTAACCTGAAGTTAAGGTGTCTTTTGACCTCTTTTGGGAATGAAGTCAAACATACATGCAGAGGTAATCCTCGCAACTGCGTTTGCAAAAATCAAGAAAATGAGGCGATGGCCTTTCAGAGTAAATGCTCATTTATTTTGCAACAACATAACTTCTTTTGACAAAACCAGTAACGAGTTTTTTTAACCACCAGGAGTGCGACTCTTATGAACTAGTGGTAATTGTCTGGTTCCAAAATTGAGTTGTTTGGTTGAAAAACTGGAATGGAACCACCACATGGCAATGTTTTATGTCTTTTGAGTCCATATCTTTCTTGCAGAAAAAAACGAAATACACTCCACCTCAGAATCACAGAAACTTAGAATCTTGCAATCAAAGAAATACCAGCTAGCGATAGACTTTGAACTCATCTTAGGGGGACAGTAATACTTATATTAGTTGCTTTATGCTACAGAAAATAGAGTTAGCTAAATCAGTAATACAGCAATGATCACTGTCCCGCTCCCTTTTTTTAACAGAGTCTAATCTTTCAAATGGACGTACTAGGGACAAGTATTTCCGTCGCTGTTTTAAAAACAATAGGTAATCAGTTTCGCAATCCTTACAAAAGTACTGTAAGCGAGGTAAACCGCCAGTGATCGAGGGAAATTAGCAAATGTCCTAGTCACTACTGATAAACCACGGCTTCTCCAATTCCCCAGCCAACAAAGATTGGAAAAGCTAGAAAATAGTGTCAGTCAAAGCTGAGACCTTTTTAATTCCTTCTCAGTTGTTCTCATCAGCCTTTTCTCGAAGCACTAAGATTCGGCAAAATTTTGGTTTTAAAACAAATGTAAATCTTACTTCAATTGGTATCGATATCATCCGCTTCATTTTCTCTCGAAGTTAAGAAAAGCCATACATGTGACTGACGAGCCTTGTCAGTTGCCTTTTATAGACGAAACCATGTAGCGCTACCGTAAAAGTCCAAGTTGCGAAGTAACGACCCTCCTAACTTTTACATCAAGTTCAAGAAGAAAAGGGGTTGGCCGCCCACCCCTAGCACTTTAAACTCTTTCCACCCCCCCCCCCCATATCAACGTCATATGGAAAAGCATGGCAAACGTTTCGTGGTCGTCAAACCAGTTTATTCCCGTTTCTCATTTTGAAACATCACGTAATTTTACTACGCGCATGCTCTGTAGTCATACAGAACATTTCTTAATGCGCAATAGGGAAAACCCCAGGCTTAAATCAACAGCGGTCATCATCAGCCAATCACCTGCCAAGAAGAAACCGAATGCTATATAAACTTTCACCTGGCCGGAACCGGACAAACAAGTTAAACTCGAAAGGACGTTTGTACCGTTAGACCTTTAAACCGGTTTAAAAACCTTCAAATCAAGTTTTCTTTTCTTAAAAAGTTGAATAATCATGGCCGGCGGCGATATAATCAGACCCCAAATGAAACAGGCGATAGTTGAGGACGAATTGGACGCTATAATCAACTTCCTCGATAAAGGTAACAATTTTCTGGCAATCGCCATCTCTCTGATTTAAGCTGAACCAAACATCTAACCGGCGTAGCATTTTCGCTATTTTAGAAGCACGTCCAAATTTGGTGCAGGGCTTTTGCCAACCTGCAAATGCTGGAGAAAGTGTTGACTACGCCATGCAAATTGTGGAGCATTTTGTAAGCACTTTCGTTGCTGGAGGTGAGCTCTTTTCTTTGTTTTACTGATACGCTGATCGGGGGCAGTTGTCTCACAGTGCAATTTCCATTTAATTTCCCACACATATATTACAGCACGTTTTACAAACAGCTACTAGTTCTCAAGTTAATTTTGTTCCTATAATAGCATAGTAACTTTACGGTAAAAAGCAGGGTATTATCAATGTCAGGAACGTTTGTTTCTCGTCGCACCAACACCTGTGTCTCGCGCAAAATTTCGACTATTTCACGCATAATTTTTAAGTTTGTTTTTCCTTGTATTCAAAGCAGCTTTAAATTTTGGAAACGTTCTATTGTGCAGGCACTTATACGCTTTGTTGACCAAAAGGAAGTTCGTCACTGTTATTTTTAGCCGTCGCTTTTCATGTAACTTGACAGTCATTTTGGATGAAAAAGCTTTTGCCATTTCTTGATGACACTATTTGAAATAAATAGGATATTTCCATTTTGAGAGTTGAATATTAAAATGGCGCATTATTTTTGGCGCGAGCGCACGATATTAAAAACACGCGAGGATCTCTCTCTTCGCGCGACCGAAACAACGCACAATTGCAACGCGCCATTGGCTACGAAACAAACCAAACACTGTTTATCTTTTTATATCGCGAGACTAGAGTCGGTAACCCGAAAAAGGTTTACACATGATCTTATCGATGGTGTTGACTTTCATCCGCGAGCAAAATGCAAAATACGTTGATTCGACCCCATTAGCTTCTAACATAATGGATATTTAAGACAGTGTATGGACGCCTGTCGCACTAGGTTGCAGTTATGCTATTTTCGGTGTAAATGCCCTAAATACAGAAAATACAAGATCTCATTAGCAGGCAGTTGCAGTCTTGCAGCGAAGAACTAGCAAGTTATGACTTATCACGACTCGTCTCATGGACACAAATCACGTAATATGAGAGTGTTTGAGCGAGTTATGTTTTCATACAAATCGACGAAGAAAACCCGGGAAACAACTGATAATTAGCACGGAACTGACTCCACCACCAAAAAGAAAATAATCAATCTATATCTTTTGACGTTTTTTGCCAGGTGAGGATTGTTTTTTTCTATCAATTATAACAATCCTTTCAATATTGATTGATGCTATTCTAAAAAGAATCATATTTTTTAAAGATGAAAATGTGTCTTGTGAAAGAATGGTCATATCGGGAAATTTCTGTCCAAAAGCAAGAGATGTGAAAATATCCCGTCAACAAATGTTGAGCCTAAAAAATACACTACCAAGCACAGGGTTATTTACCCTATGACATCGATCAATGTCAGACTTGCGGTCGGTCTTATAGACTTCAAAACAGGTTTTAATTTCCTGTCTCATATTTCAAGCCTTACGTCAGAAAAAATTTGCTCAAAATAGAAACTACACGCATGCTCACTCGCTTAAGTAAACAATTTCCAGCTGCGCAATAGGGTTTACCCCTCGTTTACGCCTTATTTGGCATGAAGCTGTCAAGAAGCTGTCATTACCAGCCAATCAGGCGGCGACAGGAAA